AACCCGCAACACACAAAAAACAGAGATTCTATATTCACTGTTAACGTTTCACCACCAAATTTCAGTCACACTGCACAAAGTTATAGAAACCAATCCGTTCTTATCATCAATCTAAAAATCGCACGGGTGAGATTTACGCCCGGTTTCCTCTCTACATGTACGACTTGATGTCCTTAATTGTTCGCTCCTTTCAGATGCATCATCATTTTTGTCCACCCGTAGGCCACGGCTCAGTATTAGCCGCGGGCTGACGCTGCGCGGCCTAGGGAGACTGCAAGGCCAGGCGTCGAGCTTCTGATTTCTAAGAAATTGCGAGGCCGCATGTTCAAAACTACGGTGCATAAATTGTATCACTAATCGATTCTGCCTAATGTTGAACATTTGCACACAAACATGACTCGGCCATGTTATACAAATTGTTGACCCACTTTTACGTACCACCTACCTTCGCAGGGTCCTAGTATCCCGGTATAACCCATATAAAATCCAGACGAAGCTTCTCAGTTCTGTCGGCTTAGAAATAGTCCCCTGGACCATTGTAAAATGGAGCGCGCCGTCGACCCATTTCATGCAGTCGCCTAGCACAGGATTTCTTCACTTCATTAAATATAATATGCAAACAGAATTTAACTAACGCAAGCTTCTGGCTTCCATTCCAACAATAGAAGAAAAAACAAAAAAAAAACTTAAGACAAATTTCCCTCATTGACACATGAGCCATATCCGGTGACTTTTGGGGGTCCCCCTATTATTATATTTAACTATCAGGGGACCGTTTCTCAACTCGGTGCCCCTCCCTTGCCAAGATTCTAACTGCACGCCTGCTAAGCAGGCACCTTACCATTTACTCAGGGGTTCAGCATTTCGCAGCCACCTCTCCATTGGCTGCGAGGCCATACAGGGTAGCCACCCAATTCGCTGCACATCAACATCGTATTCAACGTGGTGGATATAGATCTGCCTCTGGAGCTGGAATAAGGCAGGAGGAGCAGAATACATGCACAACCCGACCATTGTACCACCCACCGCCACTTAACATTGACCACCAAACCCTCGATCCCAGTACCACAGCTCGTCCTGGGGTGCGGCTAGAATCTTTTAATTTCCTCCGGGCTCAAGAGTATTTTAATGGTTTTCTGAAATAATCAATACGGGTGATATTACTGGGAAGATTTGACAATGACTCAAATATGGCGCACTATCGACGTTTTTTCCAGCAATACTTGGTGCAAATAGCCTATAAGCGTGCTTGCGGGAAATGTGTATGGGGTCTTTACATTTTGGTCATAACCAGTTTGGTGAAGCGTTCACCAGTAGGCAATAACGACTAACGAGTTAGTCAGATAGGCATGAACTATTCTTTAATAGTAACGGAGAAGTATTTGTATTGTCAGAAGATGATTAAACTTGCCCCATGAACGGAAATATTTAAGAAGCCATGTCCGAATTGTGCTTTGAAAGTTCAGTTTGGTTTGTCGAATGGTCCTTGTCAATCTCACTGTGACAGTGATTTTGTGTGAGTACGATCTTTGTTGCTATTTATTTAACTACTTGTTGGATGGAGTGGGACCTCTAACAGACACGTGCCTGGCTCCTAATATTGGTTCCTAGTTCCCACTGGTTCTTTTGACAAAGCAAGATGCTGGATGCTGGTTCCCACTGGTTCTTTCGACAGCACAAGACTCTGGATCCGTGTTCCCACTGTTCCTTTCGACAAAACAAGACCCTGGATCCTGGTTCCCACTGGATCTTTTGACAAAGTAAAACCCTGGATCTTGGTTCCCACTAGTTCTTTTGACAAAAAAAGACCCTCGATCTTGGTTCTCACTAGTTCTTTCAACAAAACAAGACTCTGGATCTCGGTTCTCACTTGTTCGTTTGACAAAACAACACCCTGGATCCTGGTTCCCAATGGATCTTTTGACAAAACATTACGCTGTATCTTGGTTCCCACTGGTTCTTACACAAAACAAATCCCTGGATCTTGGTTCCCACTGTTTCAACAACACAAGACCTGCATCTTGGTTCCCATGAGTTATTTTGTAAGCACTGGCTTCAGCTCCCGGTTTCCCTTGTTTTTCTCTCAATACCAGCTCCAGGTTCCAATAAGTTCTTTGGCAATCAACAGAAATACCAACATGCCATGAATACTAAACACCATGTCTCACAGTTCACACTAGTTATTTTACCAACACTAGACTCCTAAGGTCAGAACATGGAGTACTCTCAAAGTCTTGGGACCTTGGAAAAATTGGCATAAGAAGGCTACTCTGCACAACCCAGATACTTTGCTCTAAAAAAGTAGATCAGTACACCACAGACAAGTCAAAATAAACGGAATGCCCCGACTCTGTAACAATGCACCTTTTCCAGAAGCCTGAGCACAAGGCTCAGGCAGATATAGACTCATTATGTGCACCATAAAGCAGTATCAATGTGGGATTACTCTGGTCTGCAGGTGGGCTGGGCATGTGTAAAAAATTATTGCTGAGCTTTGATGGTACTTGGTAACCTGTGATATTGGGATGGTTTTCCGGTGTTATGCTAATATATATATATATATATATATATGGTCACTTTAAGCAATCAAGCAGCTTGCTTGCTTCTTGGTAATCCATGTTATAAGTACTTATGGCTGAGCCAGAACTGGCTCACATTTTTTAGCTCCTTTGCCTGCTGATGCCAGGTCCTGGTTCCAAAATAACTTTTGACACCACCACAGACCCGGTAACATCCAGCCTGGTTCCTGGTTCTCGCAGGTTTTCAGGAAAACAGTGACGACTCCTTTGTTTGCCAATCTCCACACCATTAGTGCCATAAGTTCGTTTGCCAGAAAACGCTCCTGCAGAATATGGTGGTAACTGGTAAATGGACAGAGGGAACATTCTAAGCTATTAACACCATGCATATCTTCGAAGCCCGACGATTTCTAACTCCGCGGATAGACTGATCACGTCAGATGCAAGATGCTGAGGCAAACCACAATTCGGACGAGGGTATGTTGCAATGGTGAACTATTTAAGCATGGTGGAAAATATCCTATAAGTGTGGCTGAAGTGTCCAACAAGAACTACGGACTGCTGCCAGTTCCGTGCTGCTCTGAGCTCCACAAACTCGAGTTCATCTTGTGACAGTGCGTTTCTGTACATGTGTTTCGGATACTGAGCAGTGCTCATAAAGATATCGTGCTTCAAAGGTACCGTGGAACAAAAGTCTCCACAAACCCCGGTTTGAATGAGGAGCGGCCGCCATCCATGTTTTGACCACGTTTTGGCCACTTCTTTCTAGTCTTCGATAGAGAGGGTCATTGTAGGATCTTAGGAAGAATTAGGGAGAGGGAGTTCGCCAGACACCTCTGCACAAATAAGAGATCCACGCCTAGCACTAGGAAGGCCTTGTTTCACCA